AGCAGGAGAGATGCGTGCAATGTTTCACTCAGTTTTGTATTTGACATCTTCATTTGAAATGCTGAGATGCAGGGACTTCCCTGGTGATCCAGTGGTTAAGACTCCAAGCTTCCACTGCAGGGGGCATGGGTTCGATCCCTGGTCGGGGAACTAAGATCCCTCATGCCGTGCGGCACGGCCAAAAAAAAAAAAAAAAAAATTAGGCTTTATGAAATGCTGAGATGCAATATCGTCCACTTTGAATGGGGAAAATGCAAAATTGTGTTCCTCTTCTGTGTGGTTCCTTAAGAAATGTGTTTTTTAAGAAAAATCAAAACAAAAACAGGACCTAAACAGAAGTCTGCTGTGGGGACTTCCGGAAAAAGTTTTGCTTTCCTGACTAAAGGAAACAGATCAGGTTGGTAGCACCTGGGCTCTTCCTCCTTTCTCCCTGCCTTGAATGCAGATGCATCATCTGGAGCTGCAGCCACTCTCTTGGGATCACGAGGTGACAACTATGAGTATGCAAACCAATGCTCTAAGGCTGATGAGTCAGGAAGACAGAGAGAGCATGCGTTCCCAAGGGCATCACTGACTTGCTGAACCAACACCAACCTCGAGGCTGCTAGGTGTGCAAGAAAGTAAATCCCTATCTGTTTAAGCAACTGTTCTTTTTACCCTGCTGATAACATCCTAAGCTTCCAACCTAAACTTTCCTGGTTTAGGAAGTACGGACCCCAGCCCCGCCTCCACAGAGGGGCCCCACCTGGCTTTAACCAATCACCGTATCCCATCTCCCTGGTCGCACTGGTTCATCCAGGGAGGCAAGAGAATCAATGGGATGTAAAAAGTCATTAGCCAGGATTTCTGGGAAGGAAGGTCTTTATTCTTTGTTTGGAGCTATTGGTAGAGCCTCTCCCATCCCCCTCCTAGACTTGACCTGGGAAGCACACAGCTCCATGAGCTGCTGGCAGCCACCTTGGGGTTGCTTGGGCAAAGCCCACCTGAGACTGGAGCCAGCTCAGAAGAATCAGAGCTGAAAGAGAAAGTGCGAGAATCAGGTGATGTTGTTGGGGACTTGATCAAGCCTTGCTTGAAGTTAAGATACTCTTAAACCATTTCATTATATGAACCAATAAATTCCCTTTAACAGCCATTTCAGTTGGGCTTTCTATTATTTGCAACTAGGAAGTCCTGATAAGAAAGATATGAACAATTTTTTTTTTGGCCACTCGGCATGCGGGATCTTAGTTCCCCGCCCAGGGATCAAACCCCTGCCCCCTGTAGTGGAAGTGCGGAGTCTTAACCACTGGATCGTCAGGGAAGTCCAGAAAGATATGTACATTTTAAAGATTAAGTTGGAGTATTGGTGTTATGGGCTGACTTGTCTTCACCCAAAATTCATGTGTTGAGGCCCTAACCTATGTGATGGCATTTGTAGATGGTGCCTTGGGAGGTAATTATGTTTAGATGAGGTCATGAGACACCAGAGAGCTTGCTTCTCTCTCTCTCCACCTGCACACCCCAAGGAAAGGCCATGTGAGGACACAGGGAGAAGGCAGCCATTTGCAAGCCAGGAAGAGAGCTCTCACCAGGAAATAAATCAGCCGGCACTTTGATCTTGGCCTTCCAGCCTCCAGAACTGTGAGAAATAAATGTCTGTTGTTTAAGCCACAGAGTCTATGGTATTTTGTTTTAGCAGCCCAAGCTAAAACAATTGCTAAGAGCCTTTTTAGTTGTAAATGACAGAAATCCAACTCAATTGATTTGAGCAAAAAAATAGGGGAATATTCTGGCCTTTGTCTTTTTTTTTTTTTGGCTGCATTGGGTCTTCCCTGCTGCACACTTTCTCTAGTTGTGGTGAGCGGGGGCTACTCTTCGTTGTGGTGTGTGGGCTTCTCATTGCAATGGCTTCTCTTGTTGCGGAGCACGGGCTCTAGGCGCGCGGGCTCAGTAGTTGTGGCACGTGGACTCAGTATTTGTGGCTCGCGGATTCTAGAGCACAGGCTCAGTAGTTGTGGCGCACACAGGCTTAGTTGCTCCGCGGCATGTGGGATCTTCCCGGACCAGGGCTCAAACCTGTGTCCCCTGCATTGGCAGGCGGATTCTTAACCACCACGCCACCAGGGAAGCCCAATTCTGGCCTTTTAAGTGGAAAATTTCAGGGATAGCTAAGGCTTTCAGTCATGACTGGATCCAACAGCTCAAAAGCTCTGCCATCAGGACGGACTCTCATTTTCTCTCTTCCCCACACCCTCTCTCTCTCACTCAGCTCAGTTTTCCGCTCGGTTGGCCTCCTTCACAAGGGATGTCCCCTGATGCGGTAGCAAAGATGGCCACCAGCAGGGGTGTGAACTTGCATTATCCTCACAGGCATCAGCTCCAAGAATTA